GGGGCAGTTGGGAGGAGGGGGGGGAGGAGCTGGGGGATCGGGGGAGGGGGCGGGTCCTCCTCCTATCCCCTCCTCCTTTCCTCCTCTCCTCCCCCCTCCTCCTCACCCTCCCCCTCCCACCATCCCCCTCCTCCTCCTCCTCCTCCTCTCTCCTCCCTCCTCCTCCTCCTCCTCCTCCTCCTCCTCCTCCTCTGGGGGATCACGAGGGCGAGCCCAGCGTTGAGTTGGGCCTGTCCCTCTACAGGGGGGATCTTGGTAGCTGGCCAGGCTGAAGTCGGAGTCGTGCGCGCTGGTGTAGTAGACCTCGCTGCTCCTCTCTGGCTGCTCGAAACTGTTGGTCCGCCTCATTGTATTGCTGAAGAGCCCAAGCGCTATAGTTCTGTGACATCCACAACATGTTGCCATGCGTCATCTGGTGTGGCTCGATCTTCATGTTGTCGCCACTGCGGATACGTGCGGTAGCTGTGTTCCCCCACCTGTCATACGAACTGCGCGCGCCATTGTCGGTCCACCACTCTGCACCGTGTCAGTACGGCCCACCCGCGAGAAATCCAGCATGTAACGTGCTCGTACCTGCAATGGGTAATGGTCACATTTCCTCTGCAGTGGTGCCATCTGCAGTCGTCGCCCCCGTGTCTCCAGCACCTGCGAGTACACCAGGATTGGCAGCCATGAGTAGGGCACGCCGAGATAGTCTATTCGGAAGCTCGGGGCACGGCCGTGATAGGTACCATGTCCTCCCACATATGTGTTCGCCAAGCAGAGACCATATTTCTCCATGTAGTCGCGCAACTGCGTCATGCATGTGCGCTCCTGTTGGGGCCGAAGCGGGCCCACAGGATTGTGCATACCAGGATCGACTGTGGACACTGGTATGCCTGCGTAGTCATTGAAGTCGCCGCCAAAAACGATCGAGCACCGATTTGGTTGCTGCTTGCAAAGTTTATCCATCCATGAAATCATTTGAGTCACCATACGTCGATATGGAATCATTTCTTTCGCCACATGTGCCCGCACTGGAAAATAAGCTACAATCACCAACATGTGAAATAGACCAGACCTCACTTCCACTGCACCCAGACGGCCCTGCAACCCCTCTGGTGGTGCATGGATGTGTCGGAAATTGCACAATCTAAAGAAACGCCTTCGCAACCGCATCTGCGCACCAGTGTGAGCCGAAGTCATCGGCCCTCTTCCGTAGCCCCAGTTCAGGATGTGGGCATGCGGGTCCACGATGGTGGTGGACACGTTGTCAATACAGGCGGCCCGGATTAGTAGGTCGACCTTGTCAGATCAAGGGTACCCTCGTGTCTTGTGTCTTGCGGCCCATGCTTCCTGCATTCCTATGGCAATGTGGCCTTCGGAAGGGTCTTGTGTCCTCTCGCGTGTCTTGTCCAATGAAGTCCGACTGTAGGCCTGCGGCGGAGTCCGGTTCCTGCGAGCAGAACCACGCTCTGGTGCTGAAGCGCTGGACTAGTCTCCGCTGCCCGCCCACTTCTGCACAAGCGCTGTGACATTATGAACAGCAAACGAGAAAGGAGAAGAAGACACGGGTGCCGCTCGAGCGCCGCGGCGGGAGGTACCGCAGACGGAGGGAATTGGGGGCGCTGTGCATGGAAGAGCACACATCTCTGAAGCCGCACAGGACGTGTGAAGGACCTGGGCCAGGACGGCGGCTGGGAGGAGGAAGAGGAGGAGGAGGAGGAGGAGGAGGAGGAGGAGGAGGAGGAGGAGGAGGAGGAGGACCAGTGTAAACCCAAGAGTCTTCAACGATGTTGAATAAACCCTTCCTCCAAGCTCCCTCTTCATAGGCCCCTACAACGGCTCGTTTCCACCGGGGGAATTGGTTCGTTGCAACCATTTGACGAGCCTGAAGCGTGCCAAAACATTATTCTCGGGACTCCAACGCCGTGTTGCGTCTTGACGATCCTGAATCGCGCCAGAACGCCCATTCTTGGGACTGCAGCACCGTGAACAAAAAACGTAACCATTGCGCCCTCATAGTCTCGAGTCTTTCCATAAGACCATTTCTGCTACGTTGGCTGTGGGAATCCGTGAAACTCTTGCACATGTTTGTTGAAACGAATGTGCGCGGCGCTAAGGCGAGATCCACATGTTGAAAAGGAACCGCCCTCAATCCGTGAACATCTGGCAAATGTTCCAAACGAATGTGCGAGGCGCTAAGGCGAGAAAGAGCGTGTTCTACAGCTGGGGGGGGAAAACCAGGGGGGGGTCACTACCGGTTCGAACCCCTCCCCCCCCCCCGGAAAACCGGGGGGGGTCACTACCGGTTCGAACCCCTCCCCCTCCCCCCAGTCCATCATGAAATGAGGGGGGGGGTCACTACCCGTTCGACACCCCCCCTCGAAAACCGGGCCGGGGGGGGGTCACTACCAGTTCCCCCCCCCCCCGCTTCGAAAATTGGGAGGGGTGCGGACTGGTGGGGACGGTGGTGGTGGGGACACTGGCGAGGGGACAGCGGGACAGTGGTGGGGACAGTGGGACAGCGGCGGGGACGGTAGTGGTGGGGACAGTGGTGAAGACAATGGTGGGAACAGTGGGGACAATGGGACAGTGGTGGGGACTGGTGGTGGGGACAGTGGTGTGGGGACAGTGGGAATGTGGTGGAAACAGTGGGACAGTGGCGGGTACAGTGGTGGTGGGGACAGTGGTGAAGGCGGTGGCGAGGATGGTGGTGGGACAATGGGACAGAGGTGCAGTGGGGACAGTGGTGGGGACAGTGGGGACAGTGGTGGGAACAGTGGGACAGCTCAGTGGGACAGCGGAGGAGTCAGTAGGACAGTGGGTTCAGTGGGGATAGTCGGGCAGTGGTTGGGGCCGTGGAGAAAGTGGGGAGAGTGGAACCGTGGTGGGAACAGTGGTGGGGACAGTGGGGACAGTGCGACAGTGGTGGCATTGGTGGAGACAGTATGGACGTTGGTGGAACCAGTGGGGACAGTGGTGGTGAGGGCAGTGGTGCGGGGAACAACAGTGGGGGATGTGGTGCGGACGGTGGTAGGGACCGGGAGTCGTTTGCTGGCGGTGAGGGGGGGGTGGGGAGGGGTTCGAACCGGTAGTAACCCCCCTCCGGTTTTCGAGGGGGGAGGGGGGGGGTTCGAACCTCTATAGTGACCCCCCCCAGCGGTTTTCGAGGGGGAGGGGGGGGTTCGGGGAGGGGGGGGGTTTTGCCGGGGGAGTGGAGGGGGGGGGGGATTTTCGGAGGGGGGGGGAACCCCGGGCTCCGGAGGAAGAGGGGGGGGGATTTTCCACAGCAAAGCGGCGGTGGATCACGCTCTCTCTAAGGCGAGAACCACATTTTGAAAACGACCCGCTTTTAATCAGTGAGCTTCTTGCAAATGTTTCAAACGAATCTGCGCGGCGCTGAGGCGAGTGCCACATTTTGAACATGACCCGCCCTCAATCCGCGACACTCTTGCACATGTTTAACACGAGTGTGTGCGACGCTCAAGCGAGAGCCACATTTTGAAAACGACCCGCCTTCAACCAGTGAGCTTCTTGCAAATGTTTCAAACGAGTGTGCGCGTCGCTGAGGTGAGTGCCACATTTTGAAAATCACCCGCCTTCAACCCGCGACACTCTTGCACATGTTTAACACGAGTGTGCGCGACGCTTAAGCGAGAGCCACATTTTGAAAACCATCCGCCCTACATTTGCAAAACTGTTGCCAATGCTTAAGCTTCATGGTCAGAAATGGGGAGGCACTCTCAGGCAAAACTCCCGGCCCGCCCTTTCGACCGGCATCGGGGTGCGACAGGGAGAAGTCGGAGGTTGGGGGGTGAGATCGCAGCGGGACGGAGACCCCCAACCGGGAAATTGTTTCGTTTCGTTCGTGTCGCGCGTGCGGGCGAGGCAAAGCTGCGTGGGCGCGCGAGAGGAATGAACCCGCCGTTGCTAGGGCGAAGTCTAGGCAAATGTTGCTCCCCCGTCCGTCCGTCCGGCGGTGGCTCGCGGTGTCCCGCGGTGTCCCGTGGTGTCCCGTGGTGTCCCGTGGTGTCCCGTGGTGTCCCGTGGTGTCCGCAGTTGCTAAGGCGAAGTCAAGACAAATGTTGCTCCCCCGTCCGTCCGTCCGTCCGTCTGGCGTTGGCCCCCAGTGTCCCGCGGTGTCCCGTGGTGTCCCGTGGTGTCCCGTTGAGTGAGATCGATCGTGAGATTGATAGTGAGATCGATATTGAAAGCGATGGGGTGCCCCGAGGTGTCCCGTGGTGTCCCAAAAAGTGAGATCGATAGTGAGATCGATAGTGAGATCGACAGGTATCCCGTGGTGTCCCGTGGTGTCCCGTTGGGTGAGATCGATCGTGAGATCGATAATGGTATCGATAGTGAGATGATCGATGTGGTGTCCCGTGGTGTCCTATGGTGTTCCGTTGAGTGAGATCGATCGTGAGATCGATAGTGAGACCGATAGTGAGATCGAGAGGTGTCCCGCGGTGTCCCGTGGTGTCCCGTTGAGTGAGATCGAAAGTGAGATCGAAAGTGAGATCGAGAAGCGTCCCGTGGTGTCCTGTTGAGTGAGATCGATAGTGAGATCGATTGAGTCAGATCTTGGTTCCCCCCCTTCTCCCCCCCCCCAACACAACCTCCTTATCACCCGAAGGGTGGTCGTATGGTCGAATTCGTTCTAATATGTGACCAGGCAGCTCGAGCTTAAGATCCATATCAGTTCGGTTAGGACTCGGATGCGAAGGAGGACTCGATCCACAACGCTATAGAGCACAATCGCGGCATGACACATCGCAATTCAGCACGGTGCAGCACATCACAGCCTTCGGCACAGTACATCAAGAACGATACGCTCAGCATTGCATTTGATTGTCTCCCAATCAGGTGTTTTTGAAACGTTGCCATGTCGTATATTTCTATATTCCTTTCCGGGTTCGTGGGTCGATCAAGTTCTTGGAAAGGGCGTTGGCCAAGGGTTCTCGTTGAGGAGTTACCCCTGGGATCGACGGGTATAGGGCGGGTGGAATTATTTGCGATGAGTGACGAGGTCGTGTAGGGCCGGCCGAATTGAATTTGAAGAACATGGTTTCCCCTAGTCCGTAGCCATTTTGGCTCAAGTCTTGTTCGAGCTAGGCTCGACAGCGCCATCCTGTCCCTGCGGCTGGAACGTCTGCCGCCCCATACGCACAGACGATGAAGCTCGAACAGTACCGGACGTTGTGGGGCAGCATCGACGAGACGGACGGACTCTTGGCACGCTCGCCTCACCGTACGATCGAGCAGGTCATCCCCGAGCTCAAGGCTCTTGGCTACGACGGGATCGAGATTCCGTATAAGTGTGCGCATTATTTGGGGATAGACCGCGTAAAGGCGCTCCTGGCTGCAAATTCGATGAAATGTACAGTGATGGTGTTCACGGATGGGGTGGTTGTGCCAGGCGCTGGGATTTTGTGGGGAGGCCCGTATCCAGGCTTCACCGCGCCCTCCCAACCTGGAGAGAGCGACAAGGATAAGTTGGTGGCGACGCATCTGGCTGTGTGGAAGGAGCAGGTGGTGGCGGCGCAGGCGTTGAATCCGACCCTCGTCGTGTCGCACTCGTTGAAGGACTATTTCACGCACGCCATGGCGGAGCAGTTCTTCACTGAGGCCCTGCGGTGGGAAGCGGAGAAGAACTATGTGGTTTGCCATGAGACGCACCGGAAGCGTTTTTTGCACAGCCCATGGGTCGCGCGGGATTTCCTGCCCAAGTTCCCGGCAATGAAGATCTGCGCCGACCTCTCCCACTGGGTCAACGTGGCGGAGACGAATTGTGACGACTTGGACCTCACGCAGGTCATCGAGGACGTTGCCCCGCAGGTTTGGCACACGCACTGCCGCGTCGGCTACGACCACGGGCCGCAGGTCCCGGACCCTCGCGCCCCGGAGTGGCTGCCCTACACGGAGGGCCACGAGCGCTGGTGGGACGCCATCTGGAGAGCGCAGGCCGCTCGCGGGCAGGCCGTGTCTACGATGATCGCGGAGCACGGGCCGCCGAACTACCAGGCCACGCTCCCACACAGCCGCGAGCCCGTGGCGCACATCTGGGACGTGAACCACTGGATCCAGCTGCGCCGTCAGGAGCGCTTCAAGGCCCTGTTCCCAGGCGCCGGGCACGAGACCTCGAGCCTCGTTCCCAGCGGCACGCAGGGGCCACTCCCGTTGACAGCGCCTGGAGATTCGATCCTCGCTTGCCGCACAGCGCCAGCTGGGTTCCTGAATGATCAGGAGAAGCCGATTTCCGGACGCAAGAGGAAGGCTGGCAGTTAGTGTATGTTTGCAGATTCGACACCGTAGGTCGAATCGGCATGAATCGCGTGATAGGGATCTATTCGCACTCGTTCATACGCTGATCGATGTGTATATGACGATGGTTCTGCACCACTCGATGGCACGGGTGATTCCGAGTGCGCCTCAGGATTGTCTCGGTCGCTTCGGCTCACGACTGGGGCCTGGGGCCGGAGAGGCTGGGCGCGCGGCCCTCCCCCGCCCCGCGCGCGGCCGGCCGGTGGTGCGGGTCGTGGCGCGGCGCTTGTCGCGTGTGACCCAGACCCCCCTTGGAGTCGTGGAGGGAAAAATAAAAAAAAGAAGATGGTTTCCCCTAGCTGGAACCACGCATTTCCCGTAGGGGGCAGAGGCCCAGGGTAGCTGCTTTTTTAGTAGGTGGGCCTGTCCCCGACGCCAAGTTCGAAGAGGGGCGGCGGATTCTTTCCCTGATACATCCCGCGGTCGAAGAGGCCCGCGGATTAAACTTTGAGGGTGTCCCGAGCGAAACGCTGGTTTTTGAAATTCCTACAGATAAAACATAGGTAGAGTAAGTATTTTCGTTTGTGGCGGATCTCTCTAGCGATACACTTGTTGTGCATACTTTGTTGAGGATGTCTCGAGTGAAATGCTACAGATCGTCTGTCTCCCGGGGACCAGAATTCAGAGGATGTCTCAGGTGAAATGCTTGTTTTCACGTGCCCAGGTCCTGAGGATGTCGCGAGCGAGACGCTAGGTTTCACGCGTCCAGGTTGCCTAAGCAGATGTCTAGCATCAGGATTTGTTGACGATGTCTCCAGAGCGAGGCGCTTGCTTTCACGCGTCCAGGTCATCCAGGCAGATGTCTAGCATGAGGGTTTGTTGAGGATGTCTCTCTCTCTCTCTCGAGAGAGAGACGCTTGTTTTCGCGTGTCCAGGTTGGCCAGGCGAATGTCTAACATGATGATGTTTTAGGTTGACTTTAGAGCGACACGCTTGTTTTCACGTGCCCAGATCGCCAAGGCTGATGTCTAACATGAAGATGTGTTGAGGATGCCTCGAGCGAGACGCACGCTTGCTTCCACGTGTCCAGGTCGCCCAGGCAGATGTCTAGCATGAGGAGGTGTTGAGAACGTCTCGAGAGAGACGCTTGGCTTCACGTGTCCAGGGCGCCCAGGCGGATGTCTAATATGAGGATTTGTTGAGGATGTCTCGAGCGAAACGCTTGTCGCAGTAGAGTGCGTCGCAGTCCAACCCCGCCCGTCCGTGGGGCGTCCCCTGGCGCGCCCCCTGGCGCGTCCCTTGCGACGCTCAGGCGTGACGTGCCTTGGCACGTCCCCTAGCACGCCACTCGGCGTGGCACGTTCCCTGGCTCGTCCTTTGTAGCGTTTCCTCGCTCGTTCCCAGGCGTTTCCCCTGCCCGTTCCACGGCGGGCTCCCTTGCAACATCCCTTGGCATGACGTCCTCTGGCTGCCCCATGGCACGCGCTTTGGCACGTCCCGTGGCAGGTCCCTGACACGTCCAGGGTACGTCCCCTGATACGTCCCCTGATGCGTCCCCTGGCGGATCCCCTATTGCGCCCCTGGCACATCCTGTGGCGAATCCGTGAGCCTGTGCCCCGTGTCGAGTCGTTCCTTTTAGGAGCTGAGTCGGATTTTGAGGTCGAGTTGATTGAACTTCCTCCGCGTTTCCAGTTCAACTAGCTCTGTGGGGGCTATCCGTAGCCATTTTGACTCAAGCCATTTTGGCTCAAGCTCGAGGCTCAGGCTCGGCCAGAGCGGCCGCAGACGTCAACGCTGCTGCGCCCGCTTCAACCCACGGTGGCCGGATCGCGCGCTGCCACCGATGACCCCGCTCCTCTCGCAGCTGGTGGCGTGGCTCTGCTTGGCAGCGCGTGCAGCAGGACGCTCCGAGGTCGCAACGGGCTTCAGCCTCGTGGACGAGGACGGGCGGGACGTCCTCTCTGAGGCCGCGGCCCACGACGCGCTGGACGAAGGGTACCGGCCGTCGGGCAGCGTGCTGGTGCTCGCCTTCCAGTCGCACAACAGGGCCTTCAAGTACAAGCTGTACCGCCAGGCCACGTCGTCCTCTGGCGGCAAGGTCGTGGTGCACGGCGAGGGCGGCCAGAAGACGGAGCGTGCCCTCGGCCGGCCGGTCATCTTCAGGAGCCCCGGCCGCGACGCGGTGCTGACCGCAGTGGGGCAGAGCTTCACGGGCACCATCTTCGTTGGACCCACGATATTCGACATTCGGCACCAGCACAGCAGCGCCGCTCTCGAGGTGACGCGCTTCGACCCCGACGAGGCCAAGCCGTCCGTGGGCTCCGGCGTGGGCAGCCTGCGCCCGAACGGCTCGCTGGAGCAGGCCGACGTGGACAGGCGCTTGTCGATCCTCAATCCCGACGCGATCGACCAGTGGACGAACTGTTATCCTGGAGAGGAGACGATGCGTACCTTCAAATTCGGCGCAGTTATCACGTCCAACGTGTGGCGAGACGAGAATTTTCAGACTGACCAAGAGGCAGAGGACTGGGTCCACGCTATGGTCGCCAACGCGAACATGGCGTACGAACCCCAGCTCAATATTCACCTCCAGATGGGCAGTCTTGTCATTCAGCAGACCCACGACGGCGCCCCAAGCTGGGACCAAGGTAGCACATGCCCGAAGTCAATTAATGACCAGTTGTGGGCGCTGGTCGCTTGGGAGAGTTCTGCAGCCAATCCAGACTCCACGATGGGCGTGTGGCATCTGTTCGACAATTGCTACCAGAATTCCGGCTTCATCGGCCTGGCGTGGATAGGGGTGTTGTGCTATGATTGGGGGTACAACACAGGAGTCACCTGGCTGAGCAGAGGAAATTATGCATATCCCACTTGGCACATCATGGCACATGAGCTGGGACACAACTTCGGAGCCCAGCACTCGTTCGAGCAAGGCCAGGGCAAGACAGGGGGCATCATGGATTATGGCGACGGCAGTCTGAACGGCGTGTACCGGTTCAACGACCTCCGCAAATCTGAGATCTGCGGTCAGCTCACTGCCCAAGTCAACAGTTGTTCGGGGTTCTCGGTTTTCGAAGCCGAGTGCGGCAACCGAATTACAGAGCCAGGTGAGACCTGCGAGTGCAGTGATGGATCGCAGGCTTGCTCGGGGTGCTGCGGCTGCCAGGTGCAGCTGGAAGTCGGTGCGCTCGCGACGCCGATGGAGTGCTCGTACGGCGCCCTCGGCCACGGTGGCTGCTGCAGCCCGGCCGGCATGTTCCAGCCGGTTGGCTTCGCGTGCACGCTTGCCGACGCAGACGGCTATTGCAACGAGGGCGTCTGCGTCACCCAGCACGTCTGCCAGGACAACAGCTTTTTCGACAGCTACTGTGGGCTCGAGGCGAACGGTTGCAAGATCAAGTGCACCCAGGCGGGAGACGGCACGTGCTTGAGCCTCAGCAGCTGGGAGGTCAACGGCCATCCCATCAACAATGTCCCCGACGGAACGCCCTGCCAGGGGACTGGCTTCGAGGGCACGTGCAGCGCCGGCGAGTGCAAGCACCCTGAGGCGGTTACCATCGCCGTTCCGGTGACGACGGGCGCTCCAGCGGAGCCCAACCCTCATTCGACCGAAACAGAGTACAGCGGGTGCGTGGGATTCGCCAACCGCGGCTTCCTCGGCCACGCAGACGTGGCAGTCTTCCTCCAGGGCGTATCTCTGATTCAGTGCAACATGCAGTGCGCGAACGACTGGCAGTGCGACAGCTTCATTCACAGGGCGGACGTGGGGTTCTGCGAGCTTTGGTCGAACAAGAACTTAGTGGAAGACTTGGCGGTTGTACCGGGCTACGACACTTACATCTGCGATGCATACGCCGCCGGTTTCGACTTCCTCGACGCCGAGTACTATCAGGACGCTGACGTGGGCTTCCACGGGCTAAATGTCCCTGCTCGGGAGCGCAGCGGGGACAGTGGGTTCACCCGAAGCACTTGCTACAAGACGTGCAAGACAGACCCTGGCTGCCACACGTTCGTCTTCGTCGAGAGGACCGGCAGCTGCCAGCTGTACTCCTCTGAGATATCTGGGACTGACGTGGTGTACAAGGACCCGAGCGATGGCTACAGCACTTACACCCTGCCCTGCCACGGCCGAGGCAAGAACTGCCCATGCCGCGATGACCCGGATGGCACTTGGAAGATCCGTGTGCCGTGCCAGTGCGATGCGACCGCCAACCCTTTCGAGAACGAGTGCGGCATCAACAAGTACTGCTACGATGGAACGTGCGCCGACTCTCCGAAGCGCCGGTTGTCCACCGAATGCGCGTCGACTCCGTCCCCTCCCGCTGCAGCGACGGCCTCACCGACCAGCGCACCGACTGCTGTACCGACCAAGACGCCGACCGCTGCACCGACTGCCGCACCGACCAGCGCACCGACTGCTCTGCCGACCAGCTCGCCGACTCGTGCGCCAACCAGTTCACCAACTTCCACGCCGACAGCTGCACCGACGGCCGCACCGACCAGCGCGCCGACCGCTGCACCGACCGCCGCACCGACCAGCGCACCGACTGCTCTACCGACCAGCTCCCCGACTCCCGCGCCGCCAAGCGCGACTCCCGCGCCGCCGACAGATGCACCGACTGCTCTGCCGACCAGCTCGCCGACTCGTGCGCCGACCAGTTCACCAACTTCCACGCCGACAGCTGCACCGACGGCCGCACCGACCAGCCCGCCGACCGCTGCACCGACCGCCGCACCGACCAGCGCACCGACTGCTCTACCGACCAGCTCCCCGACTCCCGCGCCGCCAGGCGCGACTCCCGCGCCGCCGACAGATGCACCGACCGCCACACCGACTGCCGCACCGACGGCGGCACCGACGCCGTCACCGACGAGGCTGTGGACTACGCTCACAGCCACCACAACAACGGTGAAGTACTTGGTGCGTGTGGACATGTCTTTTTCCAGCACCGGCACATCAGATGATGTGGAGTCCTCGGTTACTTCTTTCGTGACCAGCAAGCACGGCGTCGCCCCAGACAGCGTCACTGCCACTGCGTCTGCCAGCCGGAGGAACGCTGCAGCGTCGACCCAGTGGCACGTGGATTACGATCTCCTTCTGGAGAGCGAGTCGGACGCGTCGGCCCACTTGGGCATTGCGCAGCAGCTCTCCGCAAACGTGGAGGGTACCCGCGCCGATCTTGCCCAAACCTTCGCTGAGTCAGGGTTGACGATGGACGCAGCGGTCTTCACGGTCACTGCGCCAGAGGAAGTGCAGGTGTACCGGTCTTGCTACAATACGGACGTCGGGCTCAAGGACCCGTTCGAAGATGGTTGCGACACGTACCACCGCAACCCAGAATTCTGCGGGATCTACGACGACGCCGATTTCAGTTCTGACAACTTGTGCTGCGTTTGCGGGGGAGGCAGCGACACGGAGCCAGACTGGACGCCTGCCACTGAGGAGCCCATACTGCCGCCCGAGCCCGGATGCGTCGACACCGACGCCGCCCAGAGGGACAGCACCGGGGACGCCTGCTCGGTCTACGCCATGGACCCGGCGCACTTCTGCGGCGCCTTCGACGACGACGACTTCAGCTCCCTGGCGATGTGCTGCGCCTGCCGCCCCTACGCCCCGCCCACCCCGGCCACGGCACCCGCGGCTCCCACGCCCGTGCCCCCCCCGCCGCTCGTGCCCACGCCGGCGCCCGGCGACGGCGTGCTCGACGGGGCCACCCCGCACGGGCTCTCCGCCGCGTGCGCTCTGCTGGCCGGCGCGGCCTGCGCGCTGAGCGGCCTGGCCCAGGGGCTCTGAGGGCCGCGGCGCCCGGGCGCCGCCGTGGCCTCGTGCCTCGCCCAGTTCCCCCCCGACCCAGGCCCCGACGCGTCGCGCGAGGATAAGCCTGAATATCTTCGCTCTTTCTGCCGCCACTCCAGGAGCCTGTGTCTTCTGAGGGTGGCGATGGTCGTTTGAACGTTGATTTTCCCGTCGCGGGGTCGTGAAGACGACCCCGTGTGCTCTCAACACGCGTTGGCGCTGCAGCGTGGGCTGCGTCGCCCAGTGCGCGCCGAGTTGGGCGGCTCGCACACGGCACAAGGGTGCCTTTATAATCTTCGCCATTCGCGCGAGTGGTTTTTTCCGACTGCGCGTTCCCGCACGAAATTGTTTCCATCTCTCGCGCAAGCCTGCAGCCAGGAGAGGTCAAGGCAGACAGCCCAGAAGGAGATTGTAATGCAACTCCTGGGAGGATGCTCCCCTAATCTGGGGCTGATACGGGCCAGTCCTGCCCAATGGAGTCATCCAGTCAGGCTTCATAGGTAGCCTTTACCTGCTGTTACGAAGACTGGGATGGAGGGAGAGGGGCTGGGACGCAGGGGAAGCGCGAGGAGGCTGCCTGGAGCCCTGCACGAGGCGAGGCTGGCGCCGAGGGGCGCCGATTTTGTCCCAGTCCTCGATCCCCGTTGGGCATCCCAGGGGTGGGCCTTTGTAGAAGGCGCAGAGGGCCACTTGCTGTCTCAGAAGCCGCCTAAGCTTTCTCCGAGGCCACAGACGGCCTGTCAGGAGGCCAGAGGGCTTCTGAGAAGCCCCGCCGCCTTCTGAGACGGCCGACCCCCTCGGCCTTTCCCCCCGGGCACGACGCCGAGTGGTACTTCACTTTGGCCTCTGCTGCGCAGGAAAAAAACAAAAAAAAGTAGCTCTGTGGGGGCTACTATGTGCTCAGGCAGATCGAGCTTAAGATCCAGATCAGTTCGGTCAGGACTCGAATGCCAAGGAAGACTCGATCCACAACGCTATAGAGCACAATCGCGGCATGGCACATCGCAGTTCAGCGCGGTACAGCACAGCACAGCCTTGAGCACGGTACACCAAAATCGATACATTCAGCATTGCATTTGTCCGTCGCCCAATCAGGTGTCTTGAAACCCGCTAACATGCCTCACATTTCCATATCCTTTTCTGGGTTCGTGGATTGATCATGTTTTTCTCGCGCGGGGCACCCAAGGGAGTTCTAACATGCGATCGTTTGGGCGCCCCCAGCGTGAGAGCCCACAAGAGCCAGACATAATCAACACATCGACACCAGGAGTGCAATACATTGTGACAGTTTCTTCGGCTTGGGATATTTCAGATATCCCGTTGGGGTGTCTAACATGGTTGTCCCGAGCTTGAACCACGTTCTCAGGTTTCCAGGCCACCCAGGTGGATATCTGACGTAGTGGTCCCGGGCCAGAGCCGCGGTCGCGGTCGTCGCTGTCCGCCGTCGTTGTTGTCGTCGGCATTTCGGCCCGCCGCTTCTCGATGCATTTCGCCTGGGTTTGGATTCGTCCGTTTCATTTCGCCCGATTGTAATCATTTCGAGCTTGAGGTCCACCTCAGTTCTGTCAGGATTCGGATGCTAGGGAAAACTCTATCCGTAAGGGCTTCGCCCCCTGCCGCCGGCCCCCTCTCTCGGAGAATGGGCCATGGAAGAGCTAAGTCATGAGGCCTTGGCGCTGTCGTGAAGCAGTATCGAAACTTCATGCGAAGCCGATTCGCAATCAGCAAAACCAACTGATCACAAGAGGGGTTACCACACCTGGCGATTGGTAAGACGTGTATGGTTTACGGGCTTGGTTACCACACCTTGCGATTAAAGGGCCGAGGGAGTTCTCGCAGTTTGGGTTACCACGCCTTGCGATGGATGTGCGTGAAGGGTGGCACCGAATTTCAGAAATGTGGCAAATCCCCTGTGTTTTTGGACCCTGACCCCGCGGATCTGCGTGAGGGGTGGCACCGAATTTCAGAAATGTGGCAAATCCCTTGTGTTTTTGGACCCTGACCCCGCGGATCTGCGTGAGGGGTGGCACCGAATTTCAGAAATGTGGCAAATCCCTTGTGTTTTTGGACCCTGACCCCGCGGATCTGCGTGAGGGGTGGCACCGAATTTCAGAAATGTGGCAAATCCCATGTGTTTTTGGACCCTGACCCCGCGGATCTGCGTGAGGGGTGGCACCGAATTTCAGAAATGTGGCAAATCCCCTGTGTTTTTGGACCCTGACCCCGCGGATCTGCGTGAGGGGTGGCACCGAATTTCAGAAATGTGGCAAATCCCCTGTGTTTTTGGACCCTGACCCCGCGGATCTGCGTGAGGGGTGGCACCGAATTTCAGAAATGTGGCAAATCCCTTGTGTTTTTGGACCCTGACCCCGCGGATCTGCGTGAGGGGTGGCACCGAATTTCAGAAATGTGGCAAATCCCATGTGTTTTTGGACCCTGACACCGCGGATCTGCGTGAGGGGTGGCACCGAATTTCAGAAATGTGGCAAATCCCTTGTGTTTTTGGACCCTGACCCCGCGGATCTGCGTGAGGGGTGTCGATTTCGAGCCCCCCCAGCAATTCAGAACGCGCCCAGGGGGTGCTAAAAATCTGGTTTGGGCCTCCCCCCCCCCCTCGCGCGGTCAATCAACTAGTTACAGTAACCAGCAGTAAGTCAACTAGTTACAGTAACCAGCAAGAAGCAGAACTGTAACACTGGAAACTACAAGCTACAACTGGTACAGGAAACTGCGAACCTCGCGCCTACAGCCTGGTGGCCCCACAAGGGGGCCGGCGGATTCACGACGCAACAACAGAGCACAGAACTGTTCAGATTCGCCCCCTTTCGGTTCGTCTCGTTCCCGAACAGATTTGGAGCGTGAACTCGAGCTGGTCGAGCGTCCTGCGTATTTTGATTGCGGCCAGATCTGAGTTATGCGTTCAGGCAGCTCGAGATCGAGATCCAGTTCGATCGGAGTTCTGCGCAACATAGCTGCGCTGTCTGAGACGTGTGCAGGGATAATCATATCTATGTCATTCCTCCGAGCAGCGTGGTTCAAAGTGCCTTGGCGCAATCTGGGTACATTGAGAGCGCGGTCATTCAATCCGTCGCCTTGTTTGCAACGCGTCCATGTTACAGACTTGCCGATGCCATAGAGTCAGCACCACGCTTGAGTACAGGCAACTGCGTTAGTTGGCTCAGACTGGAATCTTCCCGAACAACAGCTTCGTTTGTTCCTGCGAGTTCCGACCGTATCCCTTTGCCTTCTCAGCGGGCAGCCCCCGAAAGCGGGGAAGGCCGAGATACACGCGTTGGCGCACTGCCCACGAACTGGCTGCCAGAGTTGCCAGTGGTTCGAACGCGCTGCGCGGACTTTCGGCAAGGCCCACAAAAAGTGTGTGGTAGGCAGCTGCCAGACATGTTCCTTTCACGTAAGTGTTGCCTCCGCCTTCCTCCTCCTCGTCCTGCTTCGTCCCGTCCTCCGGCTCCTCTTCAGTTTCTCCCCCGTCTCTCCGGTGCTGCTTGTGAAGTGCCCCTGGCCCAAGTCGGGGGCGGAAAAGAGGGGGGTGATGACTAGGGGGGGTGGATATCATGGCGGGGGCCATGACATTTCCCCAGATTTCATGGCGCCTCTTCTTGTTTCATTACGTCCCTGGCCCCCCCGCTGGGCCGCGCACATGCCGCCGGTCATGATTTGCACCCCCCCCTCTTGGACACCCCCCTTTTGGCCGCTCCCGACCAAGGTGCCCCCAGGATTCTTGGGGTGGCCCACGCGGCCTCCAGAGCACCCCCTCACGAGGCCCAGAGGGCCCCCGAGGCTTCCGAACGATGCGAAAAAATGGGGGCACCTCTTGGGCCAGGGGCACTTCTAGCAGCAATGCCCGAGTCTCCTCGCTCTGACTCGTGCAAGCCAGAAGCCAGCATGCATTCGCTTCCACGGTGCTCGACAGCGGCCCCGCTGGCACCACTGTTCCTGCCCGTGCACCTCCGACGTGCACGGCGTGTGCTGGTCCCCCCCCCCTCTCTCTCAGGAGCGGAAGGAGGGACGTGCACGTGCATGAATCCACGTTGGTTTCGAGACTACGCATTGCGCGATGTTTCGTATCATGCGACATGTCTCGCAGACTGGGGGGCCGTGCTCATGTACGTGGGTGGGCGCGTACGTCCTCGGCGGGCTCTCTCTCTCTCCCTCTCTCTCTCTCTCGCTCTCCCTCGCGTTAGCGGGAGCCGGCTGCCAGAAGCTGGACAGGATATGCTGGAGGCACTCGTTCGATTCCCACCTTGTTCTCTACTCGCGCACCGTCTTGGGCAAGGAGGAGGAGGAGGGAGAAGGAGGAGGGAGGAGGAGGAGGAGGACCAGGAGGAACCAGAGCAGGAGGAGGAGGAGGAGGAGGAGGAGGAGGAGGAGGAGGAGGAGGAGGAGGAGGAGGGAGGAGGAGGAGGAGGAGGAGGAGGAGGAGGAGGAGGAGGAGGAGAGGGAGGAGGAGGAGGAGGAGGAGGAGGAGGATCCGACCTGGCCGATCGTCGCCCCCGCGACTGGGGGGCCTCGGCCGAGGCCGCAGGGGGCGCGTCCGCGCGTTCCATGCGCGCGCGTGGTCGTGCCTCCGCGCGCGCACGAGTTCGATGCTCGTTCTGGGGACCTTCCTGAGTCCCACCTAACGGATCTGTTCGACTCAGGTTCGACTCAAGTTCGACTCAGATTCGACTCAGGTTCGACTCAGGTTCGACGCAGTTTCGACTCAGGTTCGACTCAGGGTCGACCCAAATCTACTCAGGTTCGACGCAGCTTCGACGCACGAGTGGAGCGAGTGGCTCCAGGAAGGTCCCCAGAACGAGCATCTAACAAGAGCTCGTGCGAAGTGCCGGAAAAGCGGGTGGCGCGCGGCGCGGCAGCCGTGATGTTTGTCCAGGTCGAGGCGTTCTCTTGGCCTTCTTGCTGCCTTCCCGTCCGACCAATGTCGATGGTCCCCACCCCTTTCCATCCATCCCCGGTTTTCCTCCCTCCTCTTCTCCCCCCCCCCTTCATCCACCTCCCTCCCCCGCCTTCCTCCTGCCTCCCGCCCCCCCCCTCCCCTGCGGGGTCCTCTTCGATCTGGTTGCCCCGCTTTGATATCAAGATCGGCCGTTGTGGTCCGAGTCGATTCCGATTTTTCGACGGTCCGTTTCGGCCCGTTCCTTGCATGGCGCTGTTGTGCAACCTGGCCTGTCCGATGCGATCCCGACCCCGTGCCGATGCACCCCGATTCGATGCACATGTCGATGCGTTTTGCGATTTGCCGATGCGATGCTCCTCCTCCTCCTCCTCCTCCTCCTCCTCCTCCTCCTCCTCCTCCTCCTCCTCTCCTCCTCCTCCTCCTCCTCCGCCTCCTCCTCCTCCTCGGCGATGCTGTCGGTTTCTGCGGAGGTGCCTGGTTATCTGGCCAAGCAGGATGATCTGAAGGAGAAGGGCGTTTCTGATGTCTTCCCCCGCGGCGCGCTCCTCTCGGGCCGCGATGTGTGTCGATGGTCGATTATGAAGGCAGCAGTGTTGACAATGAGCAGAGGGCAGACCGACCATACTCCAGATTTCGTAACAAAAGGGAGGGGGTCTGGACCCTCCAAGACAGGCCACTTCAGACCCCCCCCCGTGGGAGAACCCTCCACAGCATCGTCCCCAGACCCCCCCAGGCCCTCCAAGATAGCCTGGCAGAGACCCCCCCCCGAAATGAGACCCCCCTCCCTTTATTACGAAATCTGGAGTATTCGTTTCGCGTCTCCCCACTTGCTCGGGCGAGCAGGTTGAAGGAGTGCAGGAGGACGTGGAATACGATTGGGAGGAGTAGGCGTTGGAAGACGCCCAGGAGTAGGCAGAGGACCAGGACTAGGGTTTTGTTCCTGCGCGAGGC